CAGGTAAGGCTGATCTTCTCTAAGAATGATATATTGTGGATAAATGAACATCACAAGTGTTCTTAGTCCAAGGGGCCTGAATTGAATCTGGGACAGCTGTCACTGTCAAACAGAAAATAAGAATGCAATTTGGTTCATTTATCACAAAAGAGGGAAGACAGGCATGTTAAGCATATAGGCTTGATTTTGCCAACCTAAACAATTTCTTATTAAGCAGAAAATAATGACCCACAAGGAACAGGGGAAACTGGTATTCTTCACTGAGTGCAGACACACACCCAGGGGCAGGCAAAGCTTTGTGAGTGAGCAGGGGGCACCCCTCGCTGTCAAAGTCTGTATCTCTTCCTCCAAAAGCTTAAACACTCAGGCCACAATGACTTCCCCTGGTAGTGCTGACTAGCCTTACTTATCTGCATTTTAACACTCTGTGTCCTGATCTTACTAACTTCCTGTGAGTTTACTTGTTCGTATAATGTTACCTTCTATTCCAGGGCACAGCCTATAAATCGTTTTGTAACCTCCCGAGCATTTGACTCAACGCTCTGCATATATTGATGCTTACTATTTCTTCCCCTCCATCCTGCCCCCACCCTTTTTTAAAAAAATCATATTTGGGTATATTTATGCATGGTATAAATGCCAAAGGAAGTATAGATTGATAAACAACATACAGATTTTTTTCCTCAGTCATGAAAGAGACACACGAAGAGGCTCACGAAGAACAGAAAACCTAAAAACATCATTTTGAAATGTATGTAGTATGCAGTGTCTCTTGTAATCTCAACATAACCATAAGATAAGTAATCCCAATAGAATTTCCTGATTCTTCATTCAAATACAATGGAAATAAAAGCCAGCTGAAATCCAGAAGTGTTAGATGGGGCCACCCAGGGTTCAGCTGAAAAAGAAAATAATACCTTTAGGTTTAGAACCAGAAAAAACACAAACTTTATAACTTTACTGCCTAGAGCACATCTGATGTGTCATCTACTGCTTTTCCAGAATTAACTGATACCATTGTTCTATCTTTCCAATAAATGCAGATTCCAGTATCAATTCTTAGAATAACAAACGTCATGTGCTGCAAAAGGGAAGAAAAACAACAGAGCTTGAGTGAAAAGGAAAATTTCAGAATGTTTTTTCTAAAAACTTTAGCGTACTAGATACATTTTCCAAAAGGCCATAAAGAATCAGAGGCTAATTTTGTAAGGGTGCAACACATATTTAGAGTGGATTAATATTTTAAAATCAGCTGCTTCACCACATACTTCCACAATTACCACAGCATAATTCTGTCTATGTTGTTAACTAAAGTGCCCAGCACTAAATTACAAGTATTTTGAAGAGTGTGCTGGAGTGGCCTGGACAACTCCACCCCTGGGGACTAACATGAAAATGAAATGTACGTAACTTCTCAAGGGCAGTTTTTTGGAAAAGGGCCAGGGTGCATAATGCATGTTCTCAGTCTTAAGAAAGTGCCAAGACAGGCCCTATACAGCTTTAAATTCCTCATTTTGATTATGGACATTAACAGGCATCTGTTTTTAAAATCCCATACAAGTAATAACATTTTAGAAACAGATACATTTCAGTAAGTAGGAAGAAAACCCCCTGCTGTTTAGAGAGGACAAAAAAGCAAAACTGGCCAAGTGTGGTGGTGCACGCCTGTAATTCCAGCACTTTGGGAGGCTAAGGATTCCTTGAGCCAGGAAGTTCGAGACCAGCATAGGCAACATGGTGAGACCCCGTCTCTTATAAAAGAAAAAAAAAAAGACACAGCCAAGCATGGTGGTATCCACCTGTGGTCCTAGTTACTCTGGAGACTGAGGAAGAAGAATCACTTGAGCCCAGGAGGTGGAGGATATAGTGAGCCATGTTTGTACCACTGCACTCCAGCCTGGCCAACAAAGCGAGATCCTGTCTTAGGAAAAACAAAACAAAACAAAACTGATCTTTCTTCTAGTTGGAGGAAATCATAGCAAGATGAGAGCAGTGTTTCCTCCCAAGCTACTCTATATGATATGGAAGTAAGGTGTTCCAAAAACCAGTTCTCCAAAACTAGCTCCAAATAGAAACAGATACTTAAATTGGCTCAAAATGAGGATATTCATGTTTCTCAACACTGCATTGATATTTATAAGCACTCATAATGCTCAAGGGTAGTTTAGTATATTAAAAGTCGCTATTAGAGGCCAGGTGCAGTGGCTTATGCCTGTAATCCCAGCACTTTGGGAGGCGAAAGCTTGCATATCACCTGAGGTCCGGAGTTCGAGACCAGCCCAACCAACATGGAGAAACCCCGTCTCTATTAAAAATACAAAAATTAGCTGGGCTTGGTGGTGTGCAACTGTAGTCCCAGTTACTTAGGATGCTGAGGTAGGAGAATTGCTTGAACCCAGGAGGCGGAGGTTGCAGTGAGCCGAGATCACACCACTGGCAACAGAGCGCGACTTCGTTTCAAAAAAAAGAAAAAAAAAGTCACTATTGGAATATAAAGCAAAATTTAAGAGCGACCTATGTTATATCCTTGTGTTAAGCAGGTAAAGACTATTCTGTCCACATGTGTTTATATTTCTGCCAATTTTGTTTCCTTTGCATTAAGAATGTTGGCAGTAAGATCCATTAGGTGAATAACCTATTGTCTCTATTCTTCCTACAACTCCCATGTTCTACCTACCAGGTCACTCAAAACCTTCCCATATATGGCATGCTCTCTCACACATTACTTTTATTCCTTCTGCACAGACCATCTTTTCCCACCCTTTCTTCTTCTCTTCCCATTCCTTAAGGTCCACCTCTATTAGGGCTTGGTCTGTGAAGTCTTCCTTGAATTCACTGTTTACTATATGTCAGTGACAGCATCTAGATGAGCCTTCATTACAGCAGGCATTACTCTGAATGCACTAAGGTTAGACCTGACTGCATACATGTCTCTCTCTTCTAATAGACTCTGCATTCTTTGCAAGTAGATTTGCCTTGGCATGTGACATACAGTGGGTGATAATTAAAATGCCTGTTGAATAGAAGAATGACGATAGATGTTCAATAAACACTAGTTGAATAAAAGATGATTGCATGTTTGGTTTTGATCTGGACTTCTTGCTTCTCAG